GCCAAATGACGTCATCTGGAAACAGTTATTACATTTCTAAATATTGGGCCAAGAAGTGCTTTGAATCAATTTCTACCCCATAAACTAATGAGCGTAACGGATTTGGTGGTAGGGGACTAATTGTGGCAATTTTACATTTCCTCCAGGACAACAATATTTACAAATTATTTTCATTTCCCCAATTGCTACCGATTTGTCAGCACAATAATCAATTGCGGGATCATAGTGGAATGTAGCTCGTTCAACATACGCAGAAGCACTGGGTCTGTGGATTCGCTCTATTTCGTTACGTCGTACTTGCTGTTGATAAGTTTGATATGCACGAACGCGTTGCATCCTTAGCCTATCTTATTCATTGTGACTCACTAAAAACGCAATTTTGACATAGCAATTCAACTATTTTCTAGATCTGTCTCTATCTGATCATCAGTGCGGTTGACACTTGAGGTTTCTCTTCGCATATTTGTATGACAGTGATGGCCTAAGTCAGGTCGTCAGCCGTTCTCGAGTTTTAGCGAGACTAACAAACAGCAATTCATTTATATATATAGACTAGCATTATAAATTATATAAAATTTATTACCATTTAGTACAAATACGTACAAATTTCCACTACTACCTACATCATGCAATCCAATGCGAATCTTATTACCCAATGCCAGGATTCCAGCTCTATCGGTATACTCTAAATCCAAATTGTATGAAATTTAGTGCCACATTAGTTGACATTTCCAAAATTTCCTACATACCACAATCCAACACCATTGCTCTATCACATTAGTACGAATTTCTAGAAACGTTCTACATAGATCAATCATACACCCCAACAGTGATCCTAACTCCAAATTTCAGAATCCAAGCTCTATCAGTTCACCGAAATCAAATTTTGGTACCATTTTGTACAAATTTCCAAAACTTCATAAATACCCCAACCCTACACCCCAACAATAATCCTAACTCCAAATTTTAGAAACCCAGCTCTATCAGTTCACCCAAAATTCAAATTGTACCAAAATTTAGTACAATTTAATACCCATAAGTACGAATTTCCAAAACTCCATTAATACAGAGACCCCAACTCCAAATTTCAGTATTCCAGCTTTATTGGTTCACCCAAAATATAAATTGTACCATATTTAGTACACGTTAGTACGAATTTCCAGAAATTTCTACAAAACCCAATCCCATACCCCAACAGTAATCTTAACGTCAAATTTCAAGATTCCAGCTCAATCGGTTCACCCAAATTAACATTAGGTATGATTTAGTACAATTTCCAGAACTTCCTACATTGATTCACTCAAAAATTCCTAAATAGTTAATTTCAACCCCCCAACAATGATTTTAACTCCAAATGTCAAGATTCCAGTTCTATCGGTTCAGCTAAATTCAAATTTGGTACCATAAAATTTCCTACATACGCCAATCCTACACCCCAACAATGATCCTAACTCGAAATTTCATTTTTCCAGCTCTATCGGTTCACTCAAATCTAAATTACACCAATTATAGTACGATTTAGTACTTTCCGTACACATAAGTACAAAATTTCCAAAACTACGTACATATCCCAATCCCACACTCCGACGGTAATGTTAATTACAATTTTCAGGATTCCAGCTCGATTTGCACCTTAAATGAAATTTGTACCCAATAAATTACCATATAGTACTTTTCGTACTCATGTGCACGCTTTCAAAACCATCACCTTATATCGAGCCTATTTCTCAACCCTAATTTGCCTTTCAAATTTCAAGTTTTTAGCTCTTTCCATTCACATGCAACGAAATTGTACCAAATTTAGTACATTACGGTACTTTGCTACATATATTCTACACTCCATCAGTGACCCTCATTTAAATAAAATTTGGATATATGCTAAATTGAATACTGCCAAACGCCAACAGTGGGAAACCGAATAATAAATTATTATTTTATTTCGGCAGATTGCTGTGATGATAGATTACTCGTAAAGTATCGTTCAGACAATTTCAGAATTAGGCTCGTTGGAAGGGTGACATTACGCAGTAAAAAAAAATAATTTGCTGTTTTTTGTTTGGAACATTCAGTGGTGAGTTAGAGGGTGTTAAAATGGAAGTGAAAAAAGAATTTTCGAATTTTCGGTACAGGCTTTCTTTGACAAAGGCGGAAATGCAAGTCAAGCGGCTAAAATTATGAATGGTGTTTATGGTTCCGATACTGTAACAGCCAATTATGTGCAATTTTGGTTTTGTAGATGATGTTAAAGATACACCTCGCAAAGGTAGGCCGGTCGTCGAAAATGTCGATAAAATCGGAGAAATTATCGAAGTTGACCGGCATGTTAGCAGTCGTAACATCGCCCAGGAGCTGAAAATCGACCATAAAACTGTTTTAAACCATTTACAATTGACCAGAAACGGCCAGAATTGGCCAATTGTCGTGTTCCGCCAGGACAACGCTAGGCCACATACACATCTACAGAGACACGCTGCAGCCGCTCGCTATATACTTGCTGGTCGTATACCCGAATTAAGACCAAACTTCCCAGCAGAGGCAACGGGATTAGCGAATGAGCGTGATGAGCTTCGTCGTACTAGCCCTACTAACCCCAAAATCAGAGGACTGACGTTGAAGGTGAACAGGTTAGTCGCCGAGCAACGCAGTGGAAAAGTCTTCAATCCTGCCAGAACGACGCCCTCAGGACTGCAACAGGGAGGAGACGAAGATTCTTTCTGTACGTCAACACAACAAGATGTTGTCGATGCAATATCTGTTTGGGTGTTATAGAAGTAGCCATTTTAATTGTAACCTAAAGAATAGGCACCCACTACCTAGGCATGTCAGGAAGGATCTTCATGATCTGGAGAAAGAGACCTATCAAGCAGGATTGAATCGTATTCACATGGATGCAGTTGAGGAAGCAATTCGAGAATATCGTGTGAATACAATCTATGATAGCTGCAGAAGAGCAGCAGCTACTTCGGCAAACCGGAGTGGTCTTGGCACAATTAAGATCAGGATGGTGTAGCCGCTTCAATTCATATTGGGCACGAATTGACGGAGAGGTCGACTATATCTGCCCGGCATGTGGTAATGGACCACATGGCACGCTACACTTATTGAATTGCCCAGCCAAACCCACTCACCTAACCCCATCTTCAAGAAGAATCAGATTAAGAAGATTAAGAAGAAATACACAGCAGTACAAGTTGCTACAACAACAACAACTGTGACTCGCTACAAACATCGGGAGCTTGGTTGGGAAGTTTTAATGCATTCGCCATACAGTCCGGACTTGGCACCAAGCGATTATCACATTTTTCTTGCATTAATGATAACAAATTGGTATCATTATGAAGTTACATTTAAAATGGCAACAAATCATACAACAAAACGGCGCATGCTTGATGCATCGGACATTCCGAAGCATGTTAAATAAAGTCCTATAGTTCATATAAAAATAATGGATTAAATCTAATATATATTTCTTCAAAGGGAATGTAAGGATTGTAAATATACAAAATTATATTTTTTTTTACAAACAATGAGATCCGAATGAAATAACCAGTTGCGCCTTATATAACGAACTCTATATAAAGTCTTCAGGTCTCTTGAGATGAGGTTTTAGTCAAGCTCGTCAAGCTACAGACTAACCAAAAAGAGAATTTAAATAATTTTATTTGTCAAATTCTAAAATAAAAGAGAATCAATTCCTCGTAGGATCAACAATAGGGTGTGAAAAACCTGGCGATATCGTATTCGGATCATTTATTAGTTGCAAAAATTGTCGTCACGTAAAGATGTAAAGATATTCGGTCGATGGTCATCTGAAGAACATCTTCCTTTCTGACGAAATCGATAAAGTTAGCAGATCAGCAAAAAAAGTATAAGTTACGGCCCGATCCCAAGAATATTGCTGACGAAACCTGGATATACATTTTTAATAACTGTTAAAAAAAAACTATCCAAAGCTTGGATATTTAAAATATTTTTTTCCATCCACGTCCACGAACCTGCTTTATTGATGCTTCATTAACACCTTGGATATACGTTAAAAAACAACGACCTAAATGTAAAAGCCGAGGACAACACCAACAAATCAGACAGCCTTCTTTAATCTACTATTAAAAATCTATCTACACTTTAGATATGGTCTGTTCCCGTACTGCAAGAATCTACTACTTTTTACTACGATAACGAATTTTCCTTTATGATATCGAAGAAAATAGTAAAATCTAGAAGATTTTTGCAGAACGGGAACAGACCATATCTAAAGTGTAGATTTTTTTAATAGTAGATTAAAGAAGGCTGTCTGATTTGTTGGTGTTGTCCTCGGCTTTCACTTTTAGGTCGTAGTTCGTGGGCACTGGGTTGGGCGCCAATAAAACACGCTCCAACGTTGGGTGTTAATGAAGCCGGCCTCACGTTGGGAGACAATAAAGCAGGTTCGTGGACGGACCTGGTATGGCTGCATCCGAAACAACAAGATTTAAAATAATGCTTTATTCCTTGTTTAGGAACTACTTCCAGTTTATGATCTGAATCCATCAACTTGGGCAAGCGTGGGTAATGATCTTAAGCCTTCAGTGTTCGGTAAACGAATTAGAGCTTAGATTGTGCTTAGGTACCACTTATGCGAAGCATTAGTTGTGTAAAAAGGTAGTAAGGTCAGTGATGTAGGTTTTGGTACTATTTACAAAATATTTACATAGTTTACCGTTATACCGTTTAGTATTCAATTTTTTAATAAAACGTATGTGTTTATACTATATCAAATAAAATATGAATAAAACCGCTTCAAGATGTATAATGGTTTCTGGAACCGATCTTGGTCTTGTGGCTAGGTTCCCATTCGTAAAAATAGATTGAAATTGAAAATATCAGTTATGAAATACGCCAGGGTTCCAAGCTTCACATCCAACTTCACTTCACATCATTTAGAAAAATAGTTAAAATTGCAATTATACCAAAACTTATTTTAATGGCAAATATTCACTCTCTCTCTTTCTCTTTTTCAGATATCCCTCACAGGTGTTTGTCGGTGATACGTTCTGCTATTTTGCTGGCATGACTTTCGCCGTTGTCGGCATTTTAGGTCATTTCAGTAAAACTTTAATTCTCTTTTTTCTGCCACAAATCATAAATTTCCTCTACTCCATACCACAACTGTTTAAATTTGTTCCCTGCCCCCGGCATCGTTTACCCAAATATGATCCACAAACGGATCTGCTGCACATCAGCACAACGGAATTTCGTAAAAATGAACTGAATATTTTGGGTAAACTAATGGTTACCGTTCTGAAGACATTCAAATTAATCACATGGCAAGAAATGCCCGACGGTCGGGTAATAACGAATAATTTCACCTTAATTAATTTCGTATTGGTGGTATTTGGTCCGGTACACGAACGCGTAGTGACACAAATGCTGATGGGCGTACAGATTATTTGTTCGATTGTGGCATTTGTGATACGTTATCCGCTGGCTAGTTATGTCTATGATACGTAGCTGGAAATTGAGTAATTAAAGTGTGTGCGAAATTGACAAAGCGACGAATAAAAACCAAAAAAGAGAATTATTTGTTTATTCTAAGTTATTTAAAAGAAAATAAAAGTACAATCCTGATAATTGTCATCTATTAGCTATTAACGATTATTAAATAAATTTGGACATAATTTTTATTAAAATGAATACGTATTTTTTTGGTGTTTTTGGTAAGTAATGTGATCTCTAGCATAAAGGTGTTTTGATTTGCAGCCAGATAAACGATCTTCTTGTCAGTGGACAGTGTACTTAATACATCAAAGTATCTTCCTATAATCCACAGAGCCCTTTGGTATGGTACAGAAGGATGTTGACTGAATGGGAAAACAGATTTACCTACGACGGCAGCCTTTTGAGGGAAGTAACCATGGAGACCAAAGGATGTAAGAGTGAATAATCCATGGAGACTTTGGCGTTGCTTGTTTCGGCACTTAAAACTGCTAAGTCCAAGCAAGTTGGTCTCTGATGACAATGTATGTATAAAGAAGTATAAAGTGTCAGTCGTTCTTGCCGACAGATAATTATTATACAGGAATTATATACAGATTTTATTATTAGCTTTATATAAGAAATATGTTTTTATCAAAAAGGTTTCGGATTTAATGTTGATCAAATCGGTTATTCAATTCGTTTCATATTAAAGTTTTTTAAAGGAAGGAGTGAACCAATGGGTCTCATCTTCGGACTTGATCTAGGGATTGCAAAGATAATCAGCCTTACTCTGGATATTCGCTGGGAGATATCTCACATGTAAAAAAATGTTCGCTTTCACATTCTCGCCTTATTCTGAATGAATAGGGAGACGCAAAAATGTGAGATGCGGATTCGGGTTTTCGAAAATGGCGGTTGAAAAATAGATTCGTATTGCCATATTGTAATTCAAGTTGTAATGTGTGTTGCCATATTGTAATTTAAGTTGCAATGTGTGTTGCCCCATTGTAATTTAATTGTGTACTATTTTTCAATATTTTATTTATTGATTTTTTATTAAAAATGTTTACTTTTTATTGTTATTTAAACATTATAACAATACAAATGTGAAATATCAAAAATCTGCTGTATAAATGCTTTGTAATTAAAAGAAAATAAATTAAAATTTAAAAATATGGCAACCTACAATATGGCATGTGAAACAGCTTTTCATTGTTTTGATGCAAGAGATTACAAATAAAAGAACAATTTTTATGATGGCAAAAACGCAACGAATAATGGGAAGAAATCTGCGATTGAATTAATTCACAGTTTATTATTTCACTACATAATTGTGTGCCCTTTTATTTATTTTTTTTATCGTACGTTGCCACGCCTCACTTTCCCACCCCTGCCGACCGAGGGGGCGACCTCCCCTTTCGTAGGGATCGCGTACACACCATAATCCGCATTATGATGGAATATGTGAAGGGATAGAAGACCAGCTACAGAAATCTACTTCAACAGCCAGTTTGTTATTAAGTTGTATTATTCATTTAAAAATATGATTATATTAGATTTTATTAGTTCTATATTCATGCAAAAGTCTACGTTAGAATACACAGAATTGAAATCAATACACATTTTACTAAGTGGATCTCCCATAGAATATTTTCGATATTTTATCTCCTCAAATTCTTAAAGTGGCCAGTTATGATTTGCTCATACTCTTTTACTTCTTCCTTCAAATCATGCACACGATAATTTTGAAAAATAAAAAAAATGTAACTTTATGTTTGTTCTTTCATAATTTTTATTTAAGTTTTCCCTGTTAAGTGGCTCATCAGGCAAATTTGGTTTTTCCATAATTTTTAAAATTTTTTTCTTGAGAGACAGATTCTCATCCAAAATATCTGTATTTCGCCTTCAAAATGCATCAAACTCGACATAAATATTCCTTATTACCTTTATACATTCCTTGGCAATATTTGGTTCAGCATGCATCGTTATTAATAGGATTTCCAATGGCATTTTATTTGTTTTCCAGTTAAAAATTTGCTTACTATCATTTATAATATTCTAAATCGTCATAGAATAAGTATTGTGTAAATATTCTTCATAAAAATATTTTTATTACTTATGTTTTTGTAGTCAGCTCTCTTTGACAGAAAAATGTAAACAAAAAATTATTCAAATTATTTTTATTTTGAAAATGGAATATTTTCGGAAAATAAAAATTGAAAAAGATGAATGAAAATCTAGCAAATTTATATTTTTATCGCTCCATAATACTTCCTGAGCATCGAAAAGTCGTTATATGAATGAAAATTTTTTTTATACCCTTCACCACTCTGTGGTGAAGGGATAGACCCATGGTTCCTTTTAAGAATATGCATAAAACCACTTTTTGATTCGATTTATGTAAGTCCCTCCGTTCATGTATTCTTGTGAACAAAGTACAGGTCGCATTTATGATCCGATTTGGATGAAATTTGGCACATGCCACTTAATTGGCCCAAGGACGAACCCTATTGAAATTGGAGAAAATCGGTTTAGATTTAGATATAGCTCCCGGTAGTACAAAATGAAAAAATTCACTGTGAAAAAAATTCATTTCGCCCAGCGTACGTCCATAATAGCTGCCATATATATTTTCGTCCGATATTAGGTAAATGGTGCACGAAACTCTCAATATTGGTCGGATTTAAACAAAATTTTGCACAGCGTACTTAATTCAGTTTAGTTTGACATCTATGAAGTTCTTCATAAATTCGGTCCAGATTTAGATATAGCTCCCTTTATATTTTCGTCCGATTTTAGGTAAATGGTTCACCAAACTCCAAATATTTGTCCGATTGAGACAAAATTTTGCACAGCATACTGAATTAAGTCCAGTTTGATGTGTGAGAAGTTTTGTTAAAATTGGTTCAGATTTGCCGGATTTCATACAAATGATACACCAAAAATTCAAGTCAGGATATTGTACACATTATCATCGTTTCCACGACAGAGGGGTCTACGATCCGAGTCTTACTCTGCCAACGTGTGTCACCTCAGCCCATTGTGTAAAGATAATAGGGCTGCTACAACAACAACAATACATTATCATCTCTTGTATGTACCCAAAATGGTGAAGGGTATCATATAGTAGGCCCCGTCGGACTTTTGAGCTATCCTTACTGGTCTTTTATTTGCCTGTTCGTCAAATGTACCGCCATGAAAGGTTTCGAGTAGTCGAGTCGAACTAGATTAGGGAACGAATAATAATTTGATAAGTAACGGTTCCCTAGGTCTCTATATCCCCTCGTTTTTATCAAAGATCGATTTATCATAATCATTATCTCATGATAAGCAGACTGATGGACGATGTAACTTTTTAACAACATTCGATATTGTTTATTTTACAACAATTTCATTTGTTTGTTTCATTGTTTTTTACAATAACAAAAGGAATTTAAACAATATCAAATGTTGTTAAAAGATACAGGAGTTTTTGGACAAAAAACCTTGCTACCTACCTACCTTAAATATACTTTCCAACAATGAAACAAAAACACAAAAATGCAATGGTTTTATGTGGTATGTGTGTGTGTGTGTTTTGTAATAATTTATTGTTTTTAAATTTCATTTATCAGACACAAGATGTTTTTACTTTTTGTATGTTTTTATGTATATTTTGCTGTTTTTTTTAATTTCATGATTTGTTTAATTTTCCATTTGATAGAATAATTTGCTTCGTTTCATATTTTTTTCATTTGTGAAAGGTAATCTTGCAGAATATGTGAAATGTTTTCTGCATTATCATATTGTGGAGAGGAAAGGGAGTGGGGTATGTAGGGGAAGGGATTGAAAGTTTTTTTTTTTGTATTTTTTTAATATATAATTTATTCTTTTGTTAAAAACGTTTCGTTTATTACTTGTATTTTTCATTTTTTTCATCTACATAAATTAATCAAAATGATATACATCATACATACTTATATAAGGATGTTTGTTTTGTTGTTCTTTTTTTTTCTTTTCTACTGTATGTTTGTTTAGCAGCATGTTTAAAAAACGGGAGCGCAATTCTTTATTAATTTCTTTGTTTTTTTTTCTTTTTTGCATTTTGTTTGCTGTGATTTTGTTGTTGTTTTTTTATAATCAATTTTACACAAGCTTACAAAATGTTTTGGAACTAGATAATTGAAACCCATACATTTATGTGAAAATAGAACGAGATACTGAATCTCCGATCGGTTTGTCATAATTGTAAAACAAAAATAATCGGTTTATACAAATAAACAAATATTATAATTAGTTTAAAAGAAAAACCAATTAATTTAACTTGGCATAACATTAGAGACCCTTCTTAACGTGTACCTTTGGCTGTTTGACATATAGAAAAAATAGCCACTAGTTCCGATAAAATGTAATGTAAATAGAGTCCACAACAGGTCAATTAAAGTCATGTTGGAAACTTTAAAGATTCAAAACTTAAAAGATTTGGTCTACTATTTTCCTGTTATTTGAATATTACTGGACGAAAGAAAAATAGTTTTTACCAAATCGATACAAATCCAGTACTCAAAATTTACTTCAACATAGTAGTATTCTTGTTGTATAACTACAAACAATTCCACTATAAAAAGCTTGGATGTTGATACATGTTTGAATGCATGATGATATAGCTTAATTAAGTAGAAAAGGAGTTTGAATTAAAATTGAGGGAAAGAAATCCATTTTATAAATATTTTTTAAATCAACCGACGTCAATTCTACACCAATTTCCTGGAAAAGATATTTAAAAAAATAATTTAAAATAAGAAGAAAAAAATCTTACGGAAGAAGGTTTCTTATAGAAAAACCAATATATTTTTTCTTTTAGCAGAAGACAAAATCGGATTTTATGGATGTCTACATAAATATGACTAACTGGGTATTTTTATAAAAGACGAAATTAGGTTTTTTAAAATAAGAATTAATATCAACATTTGTGTGGTTTTCAGCAGACCAATATGTGCCATCTTGTAGATAAAAAAATCGATAATTTCATAAAAGGTGTCCTTTTAAAGAAGTCCAAATTATAAGAATACCATATATATATGATATGGACGTCCAAAATGAACTTAGTTTATTGGACACAGAAAGAAGCTTTCACATAGAATATAAATACAGTATTCTTTTAGTAAACGAAATTGATTTTCTTATAGACAATCATAATGGTCTCGGTCTCATATAAGACCCATTTAATCAGTTTAATCTGATTATAAGAGGCAAATATATTCTCATTTTATTGACCAAATGGGCATACTTCAGAAAAGGGAAACCTTATCAAATGTTATTTCATTGCAATACGAAATTGTCTTAATATAGAATTTATGATCCTATTTAAATTTAGTGAGCATCAACAACCACCTGTGATGAAGCATAGGCTTCCATGACACGGCAAGGAAAGATTTATTTATCATGATATCACACACCCCGGCAATAAGTAGCAATCTTTGAAAAGGCAGATCCCGATAATTAGCAATTTATAATTCGAGAATTCATGATCCTATTTAAAGTTAATGAAACGGCGGCAGATGTGACCTCGGTATAAATTATTTCTCCTTAAATGTAGTTATACAATATTACTACATTCTTTCTCTTTACCAAAGCTGGAGAAGGTAATGCAATACCATTTGGGTTTCTTGAGAAGATCCATAGACCATTATTTGAAAAGCCAAATGATATTGTTTAAGAATCTTAAATGGATTAATGTGCCTTAATAATTTCTTCTTTGAAGAAACAGAATTCCCCTTGGCTTCTGTGTGAAGAATATCATTTGTTCATCTATGAGAACATCTTTTGTACACCTATGAAAAGATCTAGCCAAAATATGAAAAGCGAAAAGCCAAAATGATCTTGTTTAAGAAGGTTGAATGGATTATTTTGTGTCTTAAGAATTTCTTCTCTAAAAAAAACTGAATTTCATTTGGCTTCTGTGTGAAGAATATCATTTGTACATCTATTAGAACATCTTTTGTACTTCTATGAAAAGATCTATCGATTATCTTTAAGCTCTTCTCTCGTCTTTTAAGGAAAATGATGTAGACATTATAAAATGTGTGTGTGTGTTTTCTTTGTTGTCTTCTTCAAAGAACCAAATAACCCTGCCACGGTTTACAGCTAAAATGTCTAAATATTAAATATATTCGGCAATAATGATTTAAAAACATTACATTTATATATGTAAAAAATCGATATATATATTTTTTAAATATGCTTATAACAAACTACGATTTACAAATGGTACAATGTTCATTTTATTGTTATCAATTTTTATTTCCACTGTACAAAATGTATAACTCTTTTTTTCTGTTTTGGATTTTTATTAATAACTCAACTATGTTGAGTTGGTTGTTTGTAAACCGCAGTGGGGTCTATCTGTCTCCATAACATGTAGTAGAGGTTCATTACAGCAAATATATCAATAAATAATAATCATATATATATATATATATATGTTGTTTTGTTTTTTAATTATTTCGTTTCTCATTTGTAATTATATACGATTTTTATTCATAAACATTTTCAATATTTTTTTGTTTTTTTTTTTGTTGATGAAGAAAACAATTCTACTTATTTTTCACATTATCTGGCATATAATCTGTTATACGATAAGGGTTTACATAAGTGTTATATACTTATAAATTACATTCAACTCCAATAATAATATTATTTTGTTTTTAACAGAAACCAATCTCTAAGCTTTTTTTGTATCTCTCAAATGGTTAATAACATTAAAAAAAACGTTTGATAGAGGAAAGGTGGGGGCTTAAAGGGGTTACTTTCTTGATCTATGAATCCTGAAAATAATAAAAAATGTGTAATTAAGGGACAACACCTCAGTTCTAATAACCTGGAAAGCAGAATTTTTTTTAAAGTATATCATATACTTGTGTTAATAGGGACAATTCGAAAAAAAAAATACTAAGAAAATGTATGCTTAGTAGTGGACCGATAATGAAACCCCATTTTGAAAGAATAAACAATTTGAATATGGTGGTATTTTTTGGCAGCTATATTGTAGGCCATATACAAATATAAATTAGCAAAATAATATGGCTTCACATTTGTGCAAGCCTTTCTCCATATATAAAACTTTGGCCTTTTTCAGGAATGTTTTCTTCCGGCTAAAGACGTAACCATAGAATTTCCAATTTTCATAGAACAAAAAATAAACAACCTCTAAAGATAAAAAGGGGAAAATGGACTGTGGAGTAGGAGAATAATTATTCTAAAGAAAAAAATATAGCTACACTAAATTTTAACACGGTGAAGAAGGAGAATTATTATTTGTAGGATATGATGAGTTACCCGATGATGACGTAGAAGAAGAGGCTGATCCAGATGATGTAGAGGTAGAGGACGATGATGATGGCATAAGAGATGATGATGATGCCGATGGTGAAGTTGTGGAATTGGTGCGAATTTCACTATTATTATCATCTGCATTATTTGAACTACCAAAGCCTGAACTACTAAGTGAATCGTAGGGTACATTTGTTGTACCACACAGCTGTTGTTGTTGTTGTTGTTGTGGTACTGTTTCTAAATTATTATGCATAAATCTATTGGTAACAGTTGCTGCTGCTGCCGCCGTTGCTGATGACGATGTTTCAATTTTCTCGGCTGGTCTAGTAATGTCTTTTGATGTTGTTGTTGCGGTTGCTGCAGCAGCTATAGCATTAACAAGTATGGATTTGCCATTTTCATCTAAAATAATATTAAGTTTATCTTCCATAATTGGCTTGTGGTGTAACGGTGTTTCACTTTCCGCCTCCTCTACATTGGTGGGAACATTTAAACGCAGTCCCTTCTTTAGGTCTTCCGTCAGCAGTTCATGCAACGTTGTGCCATCCCGTTGTTTTGATATTTTATAGATAGCTGGGCATGATTTTGATGATTTGACATCATTGGTATCCTTGATGTCGTGCATTTCATTTAATTCCATATTACTGTCACCGGGTAGATTATCTACAAGAAATCAGTATTTTTGAAGAGGAAGAGAAGGGGGTAGGTAAATTAAATATTATTTATAAACTGTATGATTTACCAAATAACTTAACCCAATAAAAGCCAAGACATTAAAACAAAAGTAGAAAAATACAAAAAATAAATAACAGGTAAAGTTGTGGAATTGATGTCGGTGCCCCTACATCACCAATCCCTAAGTTCTAGGTCACCTCCATCCTAAAGTGACGCTGGTGGGCTAGACGACCTTGTGACTCAGTGTTTCACAATGTGACTGCATTGACACCACCAGTCTCGACTTAAAAAAGCGTAGCTTCAACAATCAATTCTACCCCCAATGGATTGACCACATCCAACGATTTAATGAACTTTTGTATATGCACTTCCAACTATATTACACGGATCTTCTCCTCAATCTAATTGAGTAAATCGGTTCTTTCCGTCGCTGCAAAGAGTCTTCTGATCCACCTGTGGGATAATTCATCATTGACGGCGAATCATCTCGAGGAATTGTACAAATAGCATTGAAAGTGACTTCTCGATTGAAAGAATTCCGACATCTCTGTAAAGGTGGCTCAAATTAAACCTTTAACCGAGTAGATACAATGTACGGTCTCGAGCATATGCTGTACCCGAACACCTCCTTGAAGGGAACAACAATCCCAGATATAGCTATTGTCCAAGAAACCGGTCACTGTAAATATTATGTTACTGCGGTCAAATACAAGAACTGTACTATATTCCCTCAATTAATTATAAGTCAAAATCCGATCTTTGAAAACCCAACGAAGCCAAAAATACAATGAACAAGAAAGCGCATTTGGAGAGAATTATTCTAACAGATCAAAAGAAGAGCTTACTTTTCCCAGGCTCAAGGTAAATTTAAACTATATTATAGACTGCTAACTTATCCACAAAATTTAACCCCTCCACATGCTGTTAAAATGTTCAATCTTACCTTCATAAAACGCTGAATGCCTTTGGGCTTTACCACCATCCGTTTGAAATTTATCCGCCATTGTTGCTGCATAATGATTATCTTCAATACTGCCAGCACCCACCGGATGATCTGTGGTTATTTGTAGCTGACACAATGCCAATGCCGTATCATCAGTCAAGCCAATATTTAAATTATTGGCCAAATTATTGAACGTTGTTGGACTTTCATCATCCTGAGACATTCGTTGAGGCGTGTTGATCAACAGTGGCTGCTGGGTCATCAAATTGAAATTTTCCAATTCGTGTCGACGATGATCGACGTTCTCATTTATGTAATTAATGTGTATCGGTGATGTTTGTAAATTCAATTGGGAACGACGTTTGTTGTGTTCATCCTGTTCCTGCAGCTTCTGTTGTGATGGTGCGGCGGCATAGCAAATGGAAGCTTTATTTGACGGACAATTGGCCAACAGTTTTGATTTGAGTATTTGTAAATCTTTGACATCTTTGGAATTATAGGTGCTGGGTGGATATAATGATGCCGTGTTGCTGCTCGTATGGTGCGGATCATTTGTGGTGCCCATTTTTGTCTTGAAATACATATCAATGTCTGTAAGTGAAACAAATACAAGAACAGAAATGGGATATATATGAAATTTGGTATTTTCTAGAGTAGCGCTGGCGAAAAAAATTGGTTGGAGGGTGTGCGCAGCACACTGCGTAACCCTACCTACACACACACATTACCTTCGGCATAGTCTTCTTCACCGCGACCACGACAATTCTCAAAATAGAAACTGGGTAAATTCTCAAGAACTTTATTCAATGTCTGCTGTTGATATTTGTAACCTTCGCGTAGACGCAATACTTGATGGGCGCTGAATTTGCGTATTTTATTGCGTTGGAAGACATAATTTTCGCGTACCCAATTCAATTGACCGGTGGAATATTCACGAACCTTTTTCACCTAAATCATACATATATACACATACATTTTATATATTTTTGTTGTTTTGAAAAATTTACAAAATAACTGAAATAAAAATATATCTAAAAATATTAGATTAACAAAATAAAGATAGATATACATATGACAGTGGCGGTGAGCGAGACGCTTATGCTGCGGTGTTCAATTTTCATCGTTTTATTTATTTTTTTTTCGAAAAACCAATTTTTGTATTTTAAAAATTTCCTTTTTTGTTTTGATTTTAAATCAACTGTGTGTGCGAAACATTGAACACTCCTTCACCTGGGCATGATGTTCAAAGGTGATGTTTGAAATGAGTCATGCCCAATATTTGTTTTGGTATTTCGGCACAGTGGCATGCATTTATTTTATGTACCGAGATCAGGTATGGTACCAAAAAACCAGATTTCCTTTTGAATGATCCTTTTTGAAGATATGCAATATTAATACTGGGAAAGAAATAATGGTCGATTTGAGCATTAAAGACCATTTTAGAAGAGTCTTCTTTTTTTATACTATCCACAAGAATGCCTTTTTAGAATATCAAAAAAGTCTTGTTCATTTTTTTTGGTCATAGTAATTTGGTCTTTTTAGACGTTTTAAAAAAAATATGGAAGGCCAGAAAAGTTGTTCTCGGGAAACCAAAGATATGATCCAAAATATTCCTAATAGAGGATAATATCAAAAGTACTTCTCTAAAATCTTCTTCTAAAGGATTATAATGTAAAGAAGATAAAAATTACTTTCCACATATTATTCAAAATGTACAGTAATAGAGGGCAGTACCAAAAGTACTTCTGCAAAATGAGTTTCTAATGAATTTAAGCCATGGCTTTCTGAAAGGAATTTTGTGAACTTCTATTAATGACTTTGTCTATACAAAATATTTTTGATTTTCATTAAGAATTTCCTGCGGAAAAGAACATCTAAAAGAAAGCCAGAAGGGTATTTTCAATAGTTTGATTTGGATTTTCTTATAGAAGCCTAGAAGTTTTTAGAGGGTCAGAAGTGTGCTCTTACAAAGTACAAGAAGAGTTTCATTATTAAAAACAGAATGGGGCTTCATAGAGATGAGCAGGTGGGCAAATGATGATCCACATATGACCCAAAATTAATAGAGGTGGTATCATCCTGTACAAGTACTTCTCCAACCTATTCTTCTAGAGGGACGAAATGGTTTTCTAATAAAATATTGCCATGGACGTCTAAAAGGACCTGTAAGAAGTAGGTCTTTATAGACGACCATATTTTTGATCTTCATTATAAAAGCTGACTGGGCCAAAAACGTCTTCTTAAAAATATTCATGATTTATAAGAAGACGCTGATTCTCATATTCTTGGATCAATAATAGTTTCTTTATAAGATACCATAACGAATATATTTATAGAAAAACCTAGAATGGTTTTCTTACCAGAAGGCCAGAAGAATAAGGGAATATCAGAAGAAAATATCGATAGGGTAATCCCATATATTTATTTATATACACATTGTAATATCAAAAAAGTCTTTCTATAGGAAATCTTCCAGGTCAAAATCATTTACATTCCTAAAGGTTTTGTTTTCTTGATCACCGTACATAAAATAAATTCAGCTCTAGCACAGCCCCTCGCTGTGAGTTCTTTGTTTGTTTTCAAAGTTCAAAGATTTGCATATTTGCAAGTTTTCCACTTTTGTTTTCTTCATTTGTGCGTGTTTTTACAAACGAAGAAAAGATAAATTGAACACAAATATATTATGAAATACGACGTTACATCAGTTAGAAAATGTTCCAATTGTCAAGTAAATTGGGACACACGAGAAGATACGGCAATGCGTTATTTACGAAGAATTACACAAAAAGAGACAAACGTCATACAGGATGTCAACCAATACATTCAGCAACCAACAACAATGACTCTTTGGCTGTTAAATGTTTAGATTTTGTCGTGTTTTGCTCAGAAAATAATTATGGGCAAATAACTAATACGCAAACAAACAACATTATTATTATTATTTTTTTTTTTTTTTGATTATTTTTTACTTGGTAAGATTTGTGTTTAAATATGCTCAACACACGTGCAGCCTGTTTTCTTGTTTTGTTTTTTAAGATTTTAAGAGAGGTAGCAGTTCAATGTAGGATATACCAAATCATGCGAAGAAATAATTATCATCATCGGTTATTGTTTACTACGTCGACGCTTGTAATCAACAAAAACACATCAACTTTGTTTTTTTTTCATTATGTTTGACCGATTTGAATTGAATTTCACTGGTTTATTAACATTGGAATTGAATACTTGTTATTTCAAAAATTTGCCCTCAGTCGATGTTTTGTTTTATTGTAATTTTTTAACGAAGAGGAGTTTCTCACCAATGTCGTCATCCTTCTCATGTTTTTTTATTGTCTTAACGTACCCATATATAAAATTATTCGTGTATAATTCGTTTCTTTTCTAGCTGCAACGAAGTCTTCATCTGAGTTCGTGTTCAAAAATAAAAAAGTAATTATAGAATTTATTTGGAGGAAACAAAAAAGGAATGGGAACCTAATGTATACTCAAGAATGTTGTAGGGAATAATAATTTTCAAATAAAAAAAATTAATACATAACAAATTATAATTAAAAAAAAAATCCGAAACTGAATTACAAAAAATGCTTATAGGTCTGTACGATAATTTTTAGGAAACATGAGCAATTTTGAAACACTTTCAAAGACAAAACCAAAATCCGTTGTAAGGTCAACAAATTACTGAGGGTTTAATTTGTAGGAAATGTTAAGGCTTCTTGGAATGTTTCAATGTTTTTGATATATAAAGACAAAAAAAAAACAAATATCAACTTTTTGGAAATACTGTTGAAATATAACCTGGAAAAATTTAATATAGCTTCAATAAGACAAACTCTCCTTCAAAGAAAGAACATATTTTTCTTCAGTCCGAATGGATATGAGAAAAAATGGTATTAAAAACGTAATATTGGAGACATAAGCGACTTTACCATATGAATCTAAAATTAATAGTCCGAATATATTTTTGATTTTTCTAAATGTGAAAAATTAAGGGGTTGCGAAAATGTGATAGTCTGTTTATCTAAACAGTAAATTTTTTTTTGAATATGATGTGAGAGGAAGTTCTAAATCATACAGTAAGTCTGACCACTGGTTTTTATAAAGACTTGAGATCACGAGTATTTTATAAAGGCCATTTTGTCTTCGTGATAGACCATATGGTCTGTAAAGGACCAACAGATCTATTATAAAGACTAATTGTTCTGTGTATAGAGACAACAAATCTTTATACCAAATTGGTATGTGTATGTAATTTTTCAGTATAATATACTGGCCCATATACAGTCCAAAGTGAGGGAAAGGTAATGATTTTTAAATACACCAGAAGATGGAGAATCTGGCAAATAGGTAAGAGGAATATTCAGATTAAAGGAGAAGAATCAAGAGGAAACAAATTTGAAACGTTTGTGTTATTTAATTTTATTTCTAAACAAAAAAAGTTGTCGACTACAAACGCCCTCTTATAATGTGCAATCAAGGCTACTATAATACATAAACCAAATTACATTTGTACTCACAAACAGAAACATTTTTTTTTATTTTATATACAAACTGAAGATCCGCTATTCTCTCTTTCCAATTAACGAAAATGTATTTAGATTAGATTTAAATTAAAGCTATAATTCCAATTAGTTACATAGTGCCAAACTGAAGATCCGCTATTCTCTATTTAGATTATATTTGAATTTAAGCTTTAATTCCAATTAGTTACATAGTGCCTTCTTTGGATCTAATCTACCTTGAGATTTTATTTCGGGAATATTTGATTACAAACCCACCCCCATGCCATTATTTGTGTGAAAGTTAATTTTTTCCGTAGCCTGTGTTTTTGGGATCAATTATTGATTTGATTGTTGATATATATGTATAAATTCTGATTTGAAAATAGAAATGTAATAAAATAATTTCTACAAACCATTTCATTGTATTATTGTGATTATTACTTATTATCCCATATGTTCGTACCTACGTACAGACATACATATAAATTACCAAACAACGCATACACTCTGACAATGTTCTGTCTTCAGTGACATCCTATTGACGCTCCACCACTGCTACACACATATATATATAGTCATATCTTTGTTGCAAAACAATTCGATATACCTGATCATAATATTGATCCTTAAGCGCTGTCAAATGATTTGAGCCCATATCACGAAATTCTTTCAAATGTTTAGCCTGAGATGAGTAACTATTTTGTATCCATTCAACTTGTTGTGTACAATTTTCACGTATACGATGGACCTAGGCAGCAACAGCAAATGCAATCACAATAGAAAACATTATTAATAATAATTCAGTTATTAAAAAACAGGGATTGAAAGAAATAGCAACATTGAGTAAATAGATGTGTGTGTCAAAATGTGTGTATTACTTGCTGAGCATAATTTTCCCTTAAACGTTCCAATTGTTGACTCTTATAATTCTCAATACTATCCAACATGGCGTAGATTTGGCGAGCTCTCGGTGATTTCTTGTTACGTTTTGCACAGCAAGTGAATTTATCAAATATACCAAATCTACGAAAAGAACAAAAACAACAATAATAAAGCAAATCATAAAATTCGTATTTGAAAATACTTGGATTTAGCTTACCTATTAAATATTTGCCTAAAACCTTGAACAATTAGGGTTAGGAGTAAAAAGGCGGTGGCTGCTGCTGTACCCGATAGTAAACTACCGATTTTAACGCGATAGAAAATAATGGGATCTATTTGTAATCTGAAGAATTAAAAAAATTATATTTATTTATTTTTTTAATTTAGCTTCCATAATTGCTTACCTTATAAAAGCCGATGCATTACCCATAACATTGTAAGCATAACAGGTATAAAGGCCACTATCACGTCGTGTTATATTGTTTATCAGCAATGAACCATTTTCAATTAATGCCACACGTTCCTTGGCATCTTGTCGCTGCAGGCTGACATTCAACGTTGTATCTTCGTTCGTCAAAGAGTTAAACTCAAACTTGCCCAATTCTTTGTCATTGTGATTGATAATAATTGGCCGTTTATCTGGATCAGCATGATAACGTAGTATCTTGTTAGTTGGTGTAACCTTCATGGGGAACAATCACATAAAAATAGAAAAAAGGAAAAACATTTTATATAAGAAAAAGACATACGTTTTAATGTGAAAATAACATTCATCATTTTGGATAAAAGTACGTCAGAATATAATAATGCAAAAGAAAGCAAAAATAAATAAATGTTCCATTATTGTGCACGTTTTACATACACGGGATTTTGCACGAATCACTGAGAAACATCTAATTCTAGAAGCGAAACAGGCAATAATTTTCTACCACATACTCATGACACATGCGGATCATTTACATCGTTCTTTTAGTCAGCATAGCAATATGCTTCCGTTGCTGTACCTTTTTCAAACGAACTAACTATCGCAGTTATGTCCCAAGAAGCCGCACAACCTAGAAGTATATTTCGGAAGAATATATGACCGTGAGGCCAAGAGTCGTACTGCTTTGTTTACTAGCTAATTCAGGTTTTATTTGAAGCAAATGCTGTTTTCCATATATTTTGATAAAGTATACAAACGAATCATAAAAAATTAATGGGGGAAATTTTCAAATGAACTATCTGGCCTGATGAGCGTCAGATCCCGACACACGCCTGGATATTTTTTATTCACAATATTAATTCAGCATACTTTTTCTGTCAATTTAGTAACGTATTTTTAAAGAAAAATTCATTTCAGCAAAGTTTTTCAATATAAAATGTCCATTCAGTAATCTTTTGCTGCTAACAGCAGCTAACATTTTCCATATAAAAAGTCAATTCGACTAACTACTGATATAGAAAACTCTTATTCAGCTAAGTCTTTCTCTAGAAAAGTCTAATTAAGCAACGTACAATTTATAGAAGAAGTAAATTCAACCAATTTTATATATAGTTGAACCAAATTCTGCAATGTTTTTATAGAATTTTTCAAATCAGCAAATGTTTTCTTTGAAAGAAGTCAATTCAGCTAATCGTTTGTATAGAAAAATTCAATTCTGCTAACTTTTACTATGAAAAAAAGAAATTCAGCTAAGTTTTCCAAAAGAACATTTTATTTCCATTGGAAAGGTAATAATCACAGGGTTAATAATCTCTTAATTAATGAAGAGATGAGGCCAGTACATGCTGAGTCAAGGGGTATTTTTACATTGCAAGTCATTGGGTATTTTTGCATTAGGAGCTAGCAGAATACATTATGAATTATGTATATTTTTCTAGGTGAAAAAAGGCGGTTAGGGTCAATTTGGATATGTTTAATTCTGCATGTTTCCCAAAGAAGTATCTGAATATATAAAATGCTAAAAAAACACTGTTTAACTATCTGAATTTTTTACAAAACACTATCCTCTCCAAAAATGGGTATATACATAGATTTTAAATTTGTTCAAATACCAAAGCACATGCCACCCTTTTCAAAATTTAAAACATCTCAAAATACTTACCCAAATAACATCTGGCGCTGGACTGCCGGAAAAACTACAATCTAATTTTGCCGTCGAATGCAATTCATGCATTTTCAAATCGGTCGAATTCAACAGCGCCGGTTTCGTACAGTTCAACGACTTCAATATTTGTATCATATCACCGGGATAACCGTGTAGACACTTCAGTGAGGATATCAATAAATCTAAATCTTCAGCCTTTTCCGATGAGGTAAATTCTTCGTCGCTATCGACATCACTGATGGGCGGGCTGCTATCGGCTATGAGGTAATTACTGCTTGACGACGACGTTGCTGCCCCCGTCAATGTATGTCGATGTAAACGCAGTGTATTATTCGTCGATGTTAGCCACGAGGCAAGCCAATATAGCTTGCAATTGCAAATGTAATCGTTATTTAAAATGTTTATAAATCGTAGATTTGGCAGGTATCTTAACGATTCGGGTAAATAGGAGAGATTGTTGTGTCCCACATTGAGACGTTCCAGATATTGGAGATGGGCAATTTCTGGGGGTAGTTGTTGCAGCCCATTGTGGGCGAGTAGTAACACCTTTATGTTTGGTGCATTTAGGAATAGAGTTTTGGGAAGTTTCTTTAAATTTGGATTGTATTGCAGCGAAAAGTGTGACAAATGCTTCAATATTGTCGGATCGACATGTGAGACATCGGTGCGTGACACCAAATTGTTGAACTTTTCGATTGGCGTGTGTTCCAAACGGAACGAGATTAGATTTCGCTGATGCATCAGTATGCCACTGGGTAGTTGGGTAAAGCGATTATTACTCAAGTCCAAATGCTGCAATCGTTGCAACGGATGGAATAGTATGGAGGAAATTGTTGTTAGGTTATTCGATGATATGTTGAGAGTAATTAAATTGCTCAACGACTCGAATGCTTTGCGATCGATGCTTGTGATGTGATTCACCGATAAATCCAAGTGTAACAGCTTCTGAAGATTGTAAAAGGAATTCTTGTTGATACTTTGCAGGTGATTGCGCTGCAACAGCAACAGTCTCAGCTCATTGTTGAGGGCGAAGAAATTGTCGGGAAACGATAACAGCTTGTTGTCGGCCAAATTTAAGATCTGCAAGTCTCTCATCGAACGGAACAGTTGGAAGGGCAACACCTGTAGGTCGTTGTGAGCCAGGTATAGTCTTTGTAATTTGAAAACACCATCGAAAGTGTTGCGCGGCAGATCAACTATTTGGTTCTGCGTCAAATTCAAAACCTTCAATTCGCTTAAATTATTAAGGAATGCCCCGTTAAGGGTACGCAAACGATTGTTGTCCAAGCGCAACTCTCTCAGCAGATTGGTGTGATGAAGCGGCGAGAAATTACACTGTTGAGAATCGATACGATTGCTCGAAAGCTTAAGTACTTTTAAACGTCTCGAAACATGTGCTCTTATCCAGCTAATGCATTCCACCTGATTATCGGATAGATCTAAAACTTCTAAATATTCAAAATTTGATTCATACCGGCTGAAAAGATCTTCCAATTGAGGATCCCGCACTGCGCTCGATATCCATTGGAAATTTTGGACACTTTCCAGCTGTTGCAGTTGGAGCAAGTGGCCACCATCTGTTGCACTGCCGCCATAACAATGCTGTAGGGTGATATGGGTATATTTGATATACTTTTTCGCTTTAAGCTCTTCGTTTATGTTCGACACGGAAGTGTTTTCACAGAATAATTTGAAAACATTTAAATCACCACCGTCGGCGGCATTCGAAGAACCCACAAACAGTGGACTTATAAAGGCCACATTATCATCTTGATAGTCGGCCAATATGTCGCGTTCTTGTATCTCATCGTTGGCATCCTTGGACGACGAAGACCGGAAACCAAAAGCCTCAAATGGATTAAAGATATGTGAAAAGAATCGATTAACCTCTTTGATGGGCTTTTGATGACTGGACGTGGATGGGTGTTGAATAAATGTGGTGGTTGCCGGTTCATGGGCCAATTGCGATGAGATACATGATGTTGTTAGAGTATCTGGTGGTTGTGGTTGCGGTTGTCGCTGTAATTTGGTAATTGAGTCTTGGACTGCTTGTACTACAAATGAACGATGATAACGTTGAAGTTTGGGACCACTGGCCACAACTTGATTTACATCATCATTCTTGTTGTTTTGCAACAATTGTAAATTATTTATGTCAATAGTAAGGAATAGAACCAATATCAGGGAGATCTGGGATATTGTTTCCATTTTTCTGTTTGTAATTTTAGAAATGTATGTGGCATAATTTTATCATTCCCGCTAGGCATATTATTTCTGTAAAAGAGAGAGAAAAAAAGAAATGAAGAAAAATGGGAATATCGATTAGTCAGATGTTATTGTAAAAATAGATAATGGATTTACATATATTTTATAAAAATAATTATAAATTATTAATAATATTTTTTTTTTATTTTTTTATTTTTATCACATTGTCTATCAGCTAAAATGATTTTGAAATTTAGGAGAAGATGAAGAAGATGATGGGTTTCTTTTTGATGCAAGATTGATAGATGTGGGAATGTATATTATCGGAGAGATGAGCTAAATTCAATCAGAAGCGTCTATTGGTTGCGGTTAGTGGAAACCCCACTATATTTTATTTGGTAAATAAGTATTCGCAGACAGTCAAATATTCATAGAGGTGCATAGGGCCAATATTGGCGTTGATGGAAAACCCAACTCCTTGGCAAAATGTGACAAGCTGATGCTTCCTTCCATGACAAGATGCATGGATATGGATGCTTATGATTTCCCCATTGTTGAAATGAATGATCGACACTATCATCCACCAAATGAGCTAAGGCCAATGAGGTACAGCTGGGAGAATGGAGTCAGGGATCTCAACTCTACCAAAATCTTTGAGGGGCCAAGAGGATGAAAGGAGATACGTGTCATCGTCGCTTAGTACAATCTTGTATTGAGATCGTCCAGAGGAGAATCCGTAAAATTGTCTCTGAAAAGGCGATCACCGCACAAAATCCTTTCGAAAAAGTCACACCTAACAATCTTCTAGCTACTGCTACACTGTCAAAACCCAGAACCAGGGTTCTGACAGTGAAAAAACTGCTGTACAAGTCCCACAATTAAAAAAATGTGGCCAACCCGAAGCGGGATAAAAAATGTTTATTGACTTATTTAATATTTTGAAAATAAATGTATGCTTAGTAAATTAAAATTGTAACAGACTTTAAAATCCAAGGAAGGTCATCAGTAGTACAGACCAATTAAAAAAAATAACGTGAAAAATTAGTTGGTTCTTGAAATTACATTATTATTATATTTTTGGTATAGAGTCCTATTATTATCCTTAATTCCCTTTAGTTGAAAACATTGCACATACAATATTAACAAAATAATGCTTAAACAATTTTCTAATTACGCAACAACTACCAGCAATTTATTTTTGTGTGTGACCATAAAAAGGAGGAATAGGTTTAAAAAAAAAATCATATAGAAAAAATGGGAAAAACAAACAATGTGACTTTTGTTACACGTATTGATATTATTAAACAATGCCAATAGCAGCTGCTACGTTGCAGTGCAGAGATTTTCAATATTCACTTTGGGGGAAAAAATCACTTGCCCGCAGCAGCAGCATTGACCACATAAAATTTATGACTGTTTCACATCGATATGATTTTGGTGGCCATGGCCAACAACAAAATAATGTTTTTCTTTCCCCCAAATAAATTGACAATCAAATATATATTTACAAACAATCTGCAACACACACGACTACATTATTACATACTAACTATATATCGTATAGAAGAGTGTAGCAGTTGAACTGCATGCTTCCCCACGTTGATTCCCAAAAGGATTTAAACGACAACCACAACTAATTTATTTATGACACAAATTTTGGTCGTCGAAACGTTTCTCTACAATTATGGTGCGTTTGTGGATATCTCACACCAAACTGCTACTAAATAATAATATAATAACAAAACCAAAAAACTTCACTTAGTAGAGAATCCAAACCACAAACACGATGTGTAATTAAACTTCCGTACACACCTTTTAATTTATTATAAATATTAATTTTTTTTTTTATGCTTCTACTAATAGGAAAGACCAAAAACAAATTCGAATTAATATCAATATAATTACATAGTTGGTATATGCAGGGCTAGCAACTTAGAACATTGGCGAAAATACTATTATTGACCTTTAAACGAGAATTGATTATAGATACCATGGTTCTTTATAGACAGCACAGACCTTCATAAAGACCACTTGGTCGGTATAAGGAGCACAGTTCCTGATAAAGGCCAAATGATCGATATAGAGACCGTACGTCTTTATAAAGACCAATTGGTCTGTACAGAGACAAAAGGTCTTTATAAAGACCAATTTGTCTGTATAGAGACCAAAGGTCTTTATAAAGACCAATTGGTCTGGATATCGTAGTCCTATTTTGAAATTCATTACTTCGGGTCTAAAAATCGATAGGAATGAATTAAAGGTTTAAATCCATCTATCGGAAAAATAAATTTTGTGTAACTCGTTTCGAATTTGAAATTAGAAAATTATTACCAAATCCTTCTGTTATAAATGACCCGAAAAATAATATTACCATTAGCTTTTTAACACAAAAACACACTCACACTTATTATATTACACAAGCACAGATGCACACACACACACTCTACCTACCTGCCCAAAATAAAATAGAATTTATATAATAGTTACCAGGCCGCCACCACTACAATGTCCGTTGATAGAACTGCCACAATACTTGGCCTAACCACTCCTATTGCTAGACTAAAGTTATCCAGTTTTATTTGTGGAGCAGCAACTGGCGACAGAATGACTATCCTATATAGCAGCGGTAGTAGTGGCAGTAACTACAAAACCAAAAACACACATGGCAGGCAGGCAGTAGTAGTTGTAGAAATAGAAGAATACGGCGAAAGTAAAATAACAACAAAACAAAAAACATGCTGTAGTTTCCTTTGCCACTGCCAAAGGATAATACCAACAACAACACTCGCACACAGCACACTCAAACCCAGAGACACTCAGGAGAGCGTCACAGCAAATTGTCCTTGAACTTTTTGTGAATTTTGTCGAAAGTGAAACAAAAACAACAATGCAACAATAACATCTATCCAACCATAAGACACACTCCATAAAAATGCAGACACAAGCTAACACACGTACACACACACACTATTCCTCCTCCATAGGTACTGTCAGGGACTTACTCCATCCTTAGCAAAAAAAATTCAGGGACGTATATTTTAGCTCCATTGCAAAGCGGGTGGGGTCTGAAGATATTTTTTTTATTTCACCTTCAAAATTTTCTAATTTATTTTCTGTTTCTTCTTGTAAATTGACTAGCGCCATCAAGGATAAACATGATTTCGTGCAGTTGAATCATTTGGGCAAAATATATAAAAAGAAACTTTGCCAAAGAAAATAAATGCAAGTGTTTTGAATTCCAAGACTTAAAAATGTTATGTTAGGGTATTTTATTAAAATAAAAAAAAGAAAGAAATTAAAAGCCTCGAAACTTTCAAAAATATATATGGAACCATCAAGTGTATATCTTAAGAGGTTGGAGAGGGTCAAAATTAACTTTCAAACAAATTTGGAAGGATCATCCACATAACGTTGGGATTTTGTTATAATCGCTCCAGGTATTTCTGAAATATGAGATATCAATTTTTTTAGAAACGATATAGAATTAAAAAAAAAACTCTGAACGGAGCTCGTCATATCTAAGAGTTGTCTGTCGCAACCTGGCATCTCCATTGGAAAGTTAAACGTTATTCAACATACACGTACTCAGTACGGTTGAATGTACGACCATGTGTTGTGTTGTTTACAGTGGACTATATAAGTTTCCCAAAAAATTGATCATTTTTTCACAACTTTGACATGGATTATCGCGGTAAGAGTGAATCGAAGAACTTATATCCCTGTACGCCGATGAAACAGAGAAAATGAAAACTATGGCCGTGAAATGTGTCCAAAAATGGCCATTAAGCCACAGAATATTGTTGCAAAGCGAGATCGCACGAGAATCACTTCGAAGCAAATGGTCGCCTGTTTCTTCGGCAAAACTGGTCATGTTGTGACTTTTCCGCTGGAGCAGCAGCAATTATGATTAAGGGGACAAAAGGCTCTCAATACGAATTGTGAACATTGCTATACCCTGATCTTTGTTGTGTCAGATTCGAACGGGTTTGCTTAGGAAAAAGCCTCTCACTGCCGGAATTTGTAGCCATTTGTGGCTTCGAAGACCGCCTGTTTATGCAGGGATTTCATCGCGTTCGCTTGGATACCTTCACGATAGCGCCCTGACGAATGTGTCGCGAGGTGGATCAGCCATCAATGTGTGATGATAGGTATGACTGTTAACAACGCATTATGTTGCTTGACTGACAGCATTATGTTGCTTGACACCATTTGGAGGTGATCGACGCTCGTTACCTGGGCACACCCGGCTGCAATTAGGAGTGCATTATTTTGAGTAGTTTGCAAGGATCTCCATTGTGTGTCGCTATGGAAAGAAATCCAGACCGATGCAGCAAAATTAATTATGGAACGACGGATGACTTTGTATGTCGTTATCTCTTCCTCAGGAGGTGCCAGCCAAAGCTTTAAGAACGTAATTCCCAGGGGGGGGGGGTGTTAGGATTTCCAATATGTAGCGGATTTATCTGGTTTTAGAATTGGAATCATCCGGTCAACTTTCCAAATATCAACTGTGACATCGATAACCCCGCCCTATGCACCAAGTTTCTTTAACATGCACATGGAAATGCCGCCTGGACCAGGGGCTTTTCTTGGCTGGGATTTAGAGATAATTGCCTCTGCCTGACTCGCTTATATTTTTGTTGTTGATTCGATTCCCACACGGCAAGTAATTACCGGCCAACCAACCAAGGTTTATTTATTAGGTTAACAGGGAGGAGAATTCGAAGTCTTCATTTACTGTCAAATTTGTTGTTTGAAGAATAAATAAATAAAAAATATTTTTATTCAATCCAAAATATTTGTTCACATTACTACCATTAGGTTTTTTAAATATATATTGAGTTTTTATTCTTTTCTGGTTGGTATTTCGCGATTAAAATGTTTACAACAAGAAATGACTAAGGCATGAATTCTC